GAGGTTCCTTGGCAAGACAAACCTCTCCATGGGGTGTACCACTGGCAGATAGTGGATGTGGCTCACATGACAAAATCCTACAAGTGGTTGGAAAAGAAAGGACTGAATATACCCGTCCAAAAAAACTTGCATGTAATTAATTGTGCATTTATATTGGGATATATCTACAGACAGCTTGCAAAAGCTACAGATCTCTTATCTGCAGCCTTTGCAAGCCCTCCCCCTTTAAACTACTCCCAGAATTTCTGCATGTGTCCAATCGCAGACTTCCCAATGCAGCTCAATGAGAAGTCTTTACAAGGAAGGTGCTCTGGGCAATTGCTGACTCTTGGGTTTAGATCCACTGAGCTAAACACATTTTTGCTAAATTTTTGCAAAATGAAAACATAAACACACAGCTTTTCAGCACTCTCAAGTGATTAAAGGGGTTTAGAGTGTTCATTTAACACAAGCTCTACAATGCATATAACCAATTATGGCAAATGCAGCCACTGTGCTAATTATTACTCATTTATTAGCTGATATTTTCCATTGCACTTTAAAGTCAGTTATAATTTCTATTATACTCCTCTTTAATTAAAGTATATTTGTTAATTAGAATTTTATTTTTTTAAATTAATTAATTTCTGCAAGTCCAGCTATATTTGCATGCATGATTCTGTTGTTGAAGAAAACAATGAAGAAATTAAATTTTTAATGCATTTTATAGATAATGCATTAAATTACGCAAAGCATAAAAAATACATGCCTTCAAAGATCCTGACATCCGTGTCTGCTCAACCCCTCCCTGACAAAAAAGAGACTCAAACATCATGTGCACCATCTAATTCTGTCCCATAAAGAACAGAGATTAATTGTAAAAGTGATTTATCTCCCCGCACACTGCTTTTAGTGTATACAGTTCAGTCCACAGTTTTGTGTATTGTGTGTTGTATTGAGTGTTGTGCAGCTCTCCTCCCGAGACACCAACCTCCCATAAAAAAGACTGTGACACAGTAAAATCCTTCCTATAAATTGCATGAAATTTACACAGAAAAGAGAAAGTTACATTTACTTGTTTGCTATTTCAGATCCTAGCGGCACTTGCAGCTGTGTTATTTTTTTTTATAGATTATTGCATTTATTATTAATAATTAGTAACTATGGCCAACAGACAATATATAGAATGCATTTCAAAACCCTTAAAATAACTACTAAATGGGGGGTGTGGCCGACAGCCAGCGGGAATGGTTGCATAAACGCTGTGCTCCTACCCGATCGTTGAAAAGCGGCAAATAACAACGACTAAACTTCAGAAACAGACCACCAAATAACTCCCATCAAGCACTGACAAGCTGCTCCATCCGATGGCGGTAAAAAACAAACCAAAACTGGACAAGGAGGCATTTTTTGCACAAAAAATGTCCAAGCAAAAGAAGCCACCTGAAAGGGAACAAGATGGCGCCGATGAAGGAGTTGAGGCGCAGACGTCGGACACAGAGAACGAAGCTCAGGTGGGGAGCGAGGGGCCAATAATGGAGTTCAGAATGAAATCTCTGTTGGAAACCTTAAATACTTTCCTGATGCACCAATTCAAAGAGGTAATAGCAAACCTAAACAAAGATGTGACGAAGTTGGGCGAGCGCACATCGCACATAGAAAACAAAATGGCGGAACATGCAGAGGCCCAAAA